TGATCATAAGTAAGTGCATCCAAAGTATTATTCAGGCCCACATTTGGCTTTCGTACCTCAGGTATCATGGCAAGATTGGAGCCAGTCTCATACTGGGAGGAGTGGACTGCACTGGGAACCACCTGTACAGTGTGGGGCCGTATGGGAGCGTGGATCATGTGCCATACCTCGCATTGGGTAAGTGGCATTATAGAGTTTAATAACAACAGTAACGTGCTGTTTTCTCTTCGATTCTTTCTTTGCAGAGCTGATATAAAGTTCTTCTGTTCTATTGAACACATTAAAACATGCTTATTTATGAGAGAATACTTTTGCTGTCACTATGAAAACATTATATATTTTAATGATCTACAGATATGCATCTGATTTGAAATGTTTTCTCCTTTTGTTCATGCAGGATCAGGTGACCTGGCTGCTCTTGGGATTTTGGAGGATGGATTCAAAACCGACCTTGAGGTGCACATTTTTATCATTTCAACTTAATATTAAAAACACCTCTGTGCAATTTTTATTTTGTGTCAGTATGTTTGCCGATGTTCCCGTCTTATTTGCCTTTTCTGTCCCAGCTGGAGAAGGCGAAGGAGCTGGTCCGAGCCTCCATCCATGCTGGCATCATGAGTGACCTCGGCTCCGGCAACAACATCGACATCTGTGTCATCACCAGACAGGGAGTGGACTACATCAGACCCTACCAGGAGTCACAGTACAAAGACTCCAGGTACGTTGTTTCGGTACAAGTTATTACAAAAGTGAGAAAAACACAAAATAAGGAATATCCCTCTTATTTGGGTGGCATGTTTTATAACCTAAAGTCGCTAAGCCATCCATGTCCTTCTCTTTCAGGAAAATTAAATACAGATATAGTCCAGGGACAACGCCAGTCCTGACAGAGAAAGTAGCTCCTTTGAACCTGGAAATTGTACAAGAGGCTGTGCAGCAAATGGATACACGATGAGCTACAACATACACGCTACCCAATCCAACACACACAAATATATATATTCCTTATATGTGTATAAGGAATTATCTGATTTCAGTTATCTGTGTGTATATTCCGATTATCGTTTTGACTCTGCTGTTGAAAAAAACTAATAAAAATGTTTGTACAACCATTTCTCCTTGTCTATCTTTCTGTTGAGTTACTTTATTTGAAAAAACTTTTGGAACCTCCAAACACCAGTTACATATTCATTTTAACATAAACTACATTATGTGGCAATACTCTGAGAAATTATCTAAAGTTTTTCCATCAGCCTGTAGCAAACCTTTCAGTTACTACGATTACAAGAGGCCATTCCTCTGCGCCCCTATCAGGCACAACTTAAGTATGCACACTTTCTTACTTCACAGTCTTTCTGCTCTCACACAATACTACCTCTCAGTCCAATATTGAGCTAAAATTCTTCCCACGGACTTATACCTGTCCCAAACTTGATATTGTTGTTTGTAGGCTCTCTTCAACTTCACTGATCCCCTCTTCTTTAGACAATGATCGTCAGTGTGTGAGTTCTCACACACCTATTCTCACCATTGCAGCAACTTTTTACTCTAGATACTAGTTCAGTCTTTTTACATCATTAAGGGTGGTCTTTGGGGTTTTATAAATGTATTTGCAAAACTTTTAAACCAGAATAATAGTTTAAAAAAAACATACTGTGTATTCCAAATTATTTTAACCTTCTGTTTCAAACAAATCTTTGTTTAAAGATTTTTTTTAATTGATACAAAATAATCAACTATCCTACATGCTTTATATCATCATTGCGTGTGAGCTTTCCAAAACCTCTCCGCTCCATTTCTCCATGGTGACAGATTGTGAAAAGATTTGGAGCGCTCCTATTGGCTTATTTTTATTGTTTCTTTTAAAGTAATGTTTAATAATTCTGTTAACCAAAACGATGTTTTTGTTAAACAGGGAATGTGTTAAATGGGTGACATATATTTTTTTTATCTTGCCTTTTAGGTTTTTTTAAACAGTAGGACTCATTTAAAACTACTTCAAAACGTCTTTCACTTTCAATTTCTTTGTCACGTAGGCTACAAGGAAATCATCAGTCAGCTTTGCTACGAGCATTGTTAAGGCTTCAGAGAAAATCCATTAAATAACTAACGATACTTTTTTATATAAACACTTCACATAATGGCGCTTTTCCAGGTCAGTGGATATAAACCTTCCGAAATTCGTAGGAATATTATTCTCGGAGGACAGCTGGAACTCGTTGATCGCCTCAACCACTTTTCCTTTAACACGAAAACACAAGAATTTGCCGTTCCTGTGGGTGTGGACGTGAGTATATGGCTTAAAAAAAAGATAACTGATACTAAATGAATGCATGATATTTTGCTGGTTCTTTGGAAATGTGTCTGTTTTGAGCGCGGCGTGTCTGTCTAGATAAAAAGAAAGCTATTTAATTTTCGTTTTGATAAGTGAAGAACTATTAGGTTATGGCAGAACAGTGTTTTTTTAATTTTAAATATCCGACTCAGAAACATTAGTACCCAACGCGTCTCTCTGATACGCCTCATTTGTTCTCAGCCTTCCAGTTTTCTGAAGTCCTGCAACCATGAGGGAGGTGTGAGTATTGACCTGAACCACGGAACCACCACGCTGGCCTTCAAGTTCAGACACGGAGTCATCGTGGCTGTGGACTCAAGAGCATCAGCTGGCAGCTACATCGGTAGTACTCATGACAATCTGTTTAGAGAGCAGTCACCCAAAAATGGGTTTACAATGGGCATATGTGAAAAGTCTCACCAGTTTGTGTGGGGAATTGTTAACCTCAGCTTTCTCACAAATAAATATATTTTTCCATGCAAAACTACCCTCCTAAAATTTATGAAAACGTATTAATTTAGATGAGCAACATCTTGTTTTAGATTGAGGAAACAGGGTTTTTGAATAATTCTTATCCCTTTTTTGTTTTACCTAAGTGCTGAAACAGTTGCTTTACAAATTTGTTACAAATTTGGTAAATTTGTAACAGAAAAACGATAAAGCAGCCATGTTTATCAGGGGTCTAGGTTTTGGCCCTTATTTAGTTTCTTTTGCAAGTCCCCTAACTTGGACTATTTTCCCCTTAAACATCTTGCTGATTTATTAGATTGGAAATCATTAGCCTGCTTTGACTTAAATGCTGTTTCTACTGTTCTGCAGATTCAAAAGATGCCAACAAAGTGATAGAAATCAACTCATACCTACTGGGTACCATGTCAGGCAGTGCTGCAGACTGCCAATACTGGGAGCGGCTGCTAGCCAAAGAATGCAGGTATGCCTGGTTTTACTGTGTTTTCTGTTTGTTATCTCTGTTTTTTTATACATCTTTGTTTAAGAATACAATATGTCCATCTGCACAGACATATAAACAGTTGTCTAATTTGGAACTGACTAATTAATGTACAGGCTGAGCCTTTGGGCATTCTTTCAATAAAAATACATCCAGTGAAAAGTTGTTACAAAATATATAGATGACGTTTAAAATGCAAAGTAGTTCACCGATAAAACATTTTAGCCAACCAGTCACAGAAGCCGATGAAGCAGGTAGGACAAGACAGCTGGAATGTTTATTCCTTTAAAGAGGAGATTGGCTTAACATAGTCAAATAGTTCCAGTCTAAGAATGTAGAGTTTTCTAACATAGAGTTTTCTTTATATTTTTTAAAGAATAGGTTGAGTGATCATTTAATAAAACTGTTTGGAAAAAAATGGTAATTGATGCCAAATAACTGCAAGCATCAAGTTAAGTGAGACAGTAAAACAACTCTAAGCAACAACACTCTTAGTGCTGTGCTTCAGAGCTTTAACAAATTTATTTGGCCCGCACCACATTTTTAAATTTTGCTCTGGACTGACAGACAATTCATCTGAAGCGTTAATTCAGCGTACAGGAACACAAAAACATGGAATATTTTAGGAGTTTTCTGAACCATTGTCTAATAAATCTGAGGAATGCACAGACCTAAGGTCAGGAAATCTTTTTTTAAAATTAATTGTGTGTCCTTAGATGCAAAGAGCAACCATGATCACAGCTGTCAAGATGTTTTTTTATGTTGAAATAAAGTTAAAGAGTTGTTTTGAACTTTTCGATTATTCATTTTCTCATTATGGTTGTCTGTTTTAACTTTTTCTGTAGGCTGTACAGACTGAGAAACAACCACAGGATCTCTGTGGCTGCTGCATCCAAGCTGCTGTCTAACATGATGCTGGGCTACCGAGGAATGGGCCTCTCCATGGGAAGCATGATTTGTGGATGGGACAAACAGGTAAATCCTGTGCACTTGGACAGATTAGAAGTCAGATAGCTGAAACAAAATGCCAGGTTGAAATGATTTTATTAATGTTGAACTCAATGACAGAGTTGAAAACAATTTTAAGTAAAAAACTAAGTGTTATTCATATGAATTTCCGAACCAATTGAGTATGACTAATTAACACATAAGCTAAAGATGTCCATTTTACAGGTTATGTTTATATTTATGAACTATGTTTATATATCTATATATTTATATTTATAGTTTTACATTTTGTGACAACTGTTACTTTGGAATCACCAAACCAAAACACTTCCCAAAAAGAAAAATTTTCAATTGTGAGAGGAGGGACTTAACACGACCCAAGAAAAATACCCCATTTTATTATCATATTGATCATTACAGTATATTATCATTCTAATTTTAATGTTACCCTCATTCAATTGTATGTGTTGCAAGAAATTCAAGATCCAACAACTCAATTATATTTGCACAAAAAAAGATTCCGTCCTAATAGAATTGTACAAACCTAACTGACTGCGGCAGTAATATATACACAAGTTTTATTTTCATCAGGGTCCTGGTTTGTACTATGTGAATAATGATGGGACCCGTCTGTCTGGCCGAATGTTCTCCACCGGCTGTGGGAACAGCTATGCCTACGGCGTGGTGGACAGCGGTTACAGAGAGGACATGACGGTAGAGGAGGCGTACGAACTTGGTCGTCGGGGCATCACTCACGCCACCCACAGGGATGCCTACTCTGGCGGAGTGGTCAACAGTAAGCACACAATGGGACTCCATCCATTTTCTGAACCGCTTCTTCCCAAATGGGGTCAATGGAAGAGAGGCAGGGTATACCCTGGACGGTCCATAGGACGAACAACCACTCACACTCACTCCTAAAGGCAATTTGGAATGCCTTTGCAAAAGGCAGGGCAGACTCCTAGAGTCCATTTAATCTGTAATCTTACATCTGGGGTCAGCACTTTTGGGTAGTGGGGAATGTGATCAATTTTCCAAGATTTATCATCCTGCCTCTTAGATTATATTATATTACTTTATTGAACCCACAGTAGGGGAGTTTACTTGTTGCAGCAGTCGTGCAAAAAAGAAAAACACAAGTACAGAAAGAGAAAAACACAGCCCTTGTCAGTGCAGCTAACAAGGTTCCATATGACCGTCCTGCACTCTAGGACGTTCCTCTTATTCTTAATGTAGAAGAACAGATTCAGAACCGCAGTTTCAATGTTCCCATTTTTTTTCTTTTTTTTTACCTTTTCCTGCATTATGGCAGCAGAACTGAAATCTGAGTAACGTACTATGCTGAACAAAATTGCTTTGCCAAGGGAGGCTTTGTTAGTGAGAAGCCCTCCTTGATTACCCAAAACTGCTTTATTTATTCATTTTTGTTACCAAACTTCCATGTGTCCAATATGCTGAACCTGACAGAGGGACAGGGAAGAGAGAATAGTAATGGAAAGGAGAGAGATCCTTTAGAAAGAGAGAGAAGGGAAAAGAAAGAAAGACAATAAGACCATACAATGTTCAATGTTTCCATTTTCATTTTGCGGTCAGACTCAGAAATAAATGAGGCACAAAACAGATACAGCAGAACCTCTACTTACAATTGCCTAAATATCCACATTTTCCAACATACAAAGTGAAATTCGATCAAATTCTTGACTCAACACCCAAAGTAAAATGCCAACATATGACATCTGTCAGGCCGGGCTCAAAACAGGACTCAGGCGCAGAGATTTTGGCAAAAATTTGGATTTTAATTCAACAAGGACACACTCGCAGGGAATAGAAGGCAAATCGATAAGCACAAAATAATGATCACTCGATATCGAGGATGCAAAAGGCTGATAAATTACCAAACAATACCCACTCACAAAGAGGATGGAAAAACTATGGGGTAAAAAATAATATTCGCTCATACGAGGGAAAACAACATGGAGATTTGAAGCAAGGATTTCTAGGGCAAGGTTTAAGTACAGTATCATTTGTCCATAGGACGAAACACACTGGCATCAGACAAGGGGAGACGCCAACACATGAGGGGAAGGGAACTCCAGGTCAACACAATCGGGGATCAGGGAAGACAATCTGATTTGTGACACACAGGGAAGTGCAAGTGACCTGAAAGTAACATTTTCAAAATAAAACAGGAAATAACAAGACAACCACGGAGACAGGACAAAAACCCAACACGACCTCATAGCTGTGTGACGTCGAAGTCATAGAAAAAAAAAAGTAATAAAAATAATTACGTTAAGTTAGTTTAAAGTTCACGTAGTGAAAGTTAGAGTAAGTTATAGCTTATACTGTATCTCAGTCACCACCTCTACCTCAACACCGGCCGTCTCCTCCCTCTCCAGCATTCCTAAGCCTACAGCTCTGTTCGCCAGTCTCCGAAGTGAAGTGCTAATAAAACCCCCTTTTTATTGATTATTTCTTTATATTTATTTCTTTTTACATCTCTCCTATATAATGCATTTGTTTTATTGCTATGTGTACGGTAATTATCTGCAGTATTTATTAAGGGGTTATCGTAGGTTTTTGGGCTGTGGAACAAATTATAGGAATTACAGTGTATTCTGATGGGAATATTTGAACCAACATACGAACATACGAGTGGGTCCCGGAACTAATTAAATTCGTATGTAGAGGTACTACTATACTATGGATGGGTAATGTGCCAAATTATAAAATGCTGTAAAGCATGCAAAGAGTGCTACTGGTAATGGGAATTATTGTGTTAGTGTATTTATTTTATTTCCACATGGGGATGTTTTTATTCAGCTGTGTTTTGTGTTTTTTTTGTTTGTCCAGTGTACCACATGCGGGAGGATGGGTGGATAAAGGTGTGCATGGATGACGTGTCGGAGTTGATCCACCGCTACAGAAAGGGAATGTTCTAGGTTCAACCAACAAACAAATTAATATAAACATGAAATCTACAGTCCAATTAAATCACAATGTAAACATTTTCAAACTTTTTACTGTTACTTTTTACTTTATAATGCAGAATAAAGGAAAACTACAGAATCATTCGCTGCATTATTGTTATTGAAATAAAATTGATGCTGAAGACAATATGTATCAGTTGAATAATTGTGTCATCATAATTCAGATTTATTAACAAAGTTTTTAAAGTTTGTCTTAACTGTGACCCATTGTTTTGGTTATAATAACTTAATAACTTAACTGAGGCTATTAGATATTTTGGTGGATAGAGAAGGCTTTATTGATGAATGAATAAAATCTCTCTGCCTGCTTTTCAGACTGAAGTGAACAACCTAAACGCATATGATGTTTCTTACATTAGTGAGCACAACCATAGTTAACATATAATTCAGAAGTTTACCTTTTACTCCCTGAAAGGTATTGGATAGCTTCATAATATGACAAAGACGATATGTATTGCATGTCTTATGATTTACAATGTTTATTTTAAACTTCAAAAGCTAAACAAGCTCTGTCTGAAATGAAAGAAAAATAAAATTATTTACTGACATCAATAATCACTATTTTGCTTTCAAAAGCAACTACATTCAAGATAGTTTTCTATTTCATGAAAAGTCTTGAAGGTCCAGCTACTTAAACCCTTGTGGGGGGCATGATAGCTCAGTGGTAGAGCACTTTACTGCAGATCAAGAGGTCCCCAGTTCAACTATCACTGCTCCCCCACTTTGTAGCTCACTTTGGACAAAGCGTCTGCTAAATGCAAGAACTTAAATTTGATGCCAGCAAAATGTCTCTGAAAACTTGGGACCATGTTTGGTTTACAGTCCAATAAAGTCTTTGATCATGCATATGAAGGAACAGGTAAGCAGGAACATCAAATTGCATCGTTTCTTCCTGTAATTGAAAATAAAATAACCTGAGCACAATATATACAAATTGTGTATACATTTTCCACATATGAAAGGTCAGAACAGAGTTAAAAACATCCTGAATCTTTAAGAAAAAGCTCATAGAAATAGTCCTGAAGATGTTGCTCAGCAAAAAATGTGAAAAATATATTTTCTTTTGAGAGGATGGATTAAATAAATGTTTTACTTGCGAGATGGAGGGCTCTTGGCTGAAATAAAAAGAAGAAACTCTTTAATACTGTTCAGACATTTTCGTAAAGATCATGTATTACATCATATAAGTTGGACTCAATTGTTTAATTTTAACTCAAACTTTTCAGTCAAAACACTGAAAAAGATGCGGAAAACTGTGTTGGTCTCTCAGTTTCTATTTAACATTGCCTCTTGACTGGGGAGTCTAGAGGAATCGGGCACATTTCTGGGGTTGAAGCATCTGGGATGGAACATCACACAATGAAAACATGGATTGTGTTCAGACTGATCAGTGCTTCAGACATTTGTTGGAAATGGATGGCATGTGCTTAGGTTAAGCAAAGAGCAAAATAAGTATCCAGACTGTACCCAACAACCCAATTTGATTTAATGTTCGAAAGGAAGTTATAGCATTGCAGTATGATTACTAATTTTATTGTTATGGATAACAAGAACAAGTATGAACACAATAGAAATAAGTTAAAAAAAACTTTTGAAAGTCGAAATTTGGTAGATGGACCTTAAAAATATGTCTGAAACACTTTACACGATTGCATAAAAGTACCCTGATTGTAAAGGTGAAACGAAAAAAAATTTCATCTGAAATTAGAAGAGGCATGGACCTAAGTCAGGAATTCAGGTTTCATTTTATGTTTATTTTCACTCTGGACAAACACAAACACCAATGAAATGGGATATTTTACATAAGAGAAGCTTCAAACATTTATTAATGACAAATATATTTAATGCTACATTTAAATTCCCTGTTCTTATCAATTTAGTAATAGCTAGTAAATCAGAAAAAAACTCTGATGTAACTGTTATTTAATCAATATCTCCAGGAAAAAGTCATTTTAACTTAATCTTTACTATTGTGAATAATAGTCAGTTTTGCCAGAGTTTAGTGTATTCCAAATAGATTAAAAGATGTAGATTTGTTGTTTTTTTTGTCCATTATAACAAAGACAGGAAGTATTTGAGTCAAAATGTTGAAGTCCTGCATTTACACAAAGTAAAAAAAAGGTTCCTTGTTTCGAAATATTTTTGATAACTTAATGAAAATGTCTAAAGAAATATAGTCTCATATGGACTAAAAGAGGTTACCCCATAATGCTATATTTCCTGGATCAGTTGCAGATGAAGCAGCTGTAGCTGTCTTACAATAAAAAAAATCAATGAATAAATAACATTTTACTGCTATTTTAGCATGTAAATGTATTCATATAAGGTGAATGAATACAATTGACATGTTTATCCATTTAATTTTAAAATGTTTATTTCAACTAAACAAAAATAAATACACTTTAACCTTCCATTGATCTTTTTATTCAAGTCCTCAGTTAGGCGTCACATCTATGGGTAAAAGATGTTTAGTTCATCTCTGACAACAGTTAATCATTGTCAAACATTATTTTTGGATCCCCACTCTCAGTTGGAAATGCACAAAAATGATAATGAAGGTAAACAGAAATTTGGATTTTTGGAGACTTTATTTTAAAGCAAGAAAGCTACAAAATTGACAAAAAGAGCAATACAAATTTATGGTTATTTCCTCATTAAAAAGCAGAAAAAATAAAATAAAAAATCAATAAAAAAATCTTATTAAAAATCTTTAATAAGATTAACACATAATAAAAAGCACAAAAACTAAAATCTCAGCAAAATCCCATTAAATCAAGAGATTAAAAGCCCTCTGCCTAAAAAGTAACTTTGAATAAAGCATCAACTTAACTTACTAATCAAAAACAAAACAGACTTTTTACATAAAGAAACCCAGAAACAGAATATTTACACGATTTGACCCAATGATCATAACTATAATGTGTAGGTGAGCACAATCTATGATATTTGCATTTATATTTTCTGGAAATAATTCTTTTGAAGCAACCGAGCAATTATAATTATTTGTTCTCTTTAAACTACAGAACAATTTAGATATTTATGAAATAAACTCAAATTCAAATTTCCATTCTCCTTCTTGACTGGAGAAGACCAGTGTTTATTTAAGCTCATTAAACTTGTATTTATCATTGGACAAAACAGTTTTTAGATGATTATGGTTAATATTTGCATGGCATCTGATCCTAAAAATGTGTTTTCATCAAAAGATGCATGCAGATCTTCTGTTGATGTTTCACAAATATTGATAACTGATTTATAAATGAGAAAACCCCAAAACCTGAAAAGTAACCCTTACATATTTGACCACCATATTTGTAGAAAAATTATATAACCATAATAATATGCCGATTCGTTTTAACTAAAGGAAGAATATGACAATGTTTTCCTTTTTTGGAATATTTCCTGAACATATTTTATCCTTTCATGTAAGAAGGCTTTGATTAACCAAAATCTTAAAACAAATTTACCAAATGAAATTACTGTATTTACCATTTTAACTATCTAGATATATCTATTTTTCCAAATTCTATTCCTTGCTATTTCAGTAGCTGTGGATTTATAGCATAATTTAAGCCTCTTCTTTCAACACTAGCAGACAAAAAATGATTGAATGGTTTACTAAGAAGAGGGTGACGATGTTCTTCATGTCAGTGAAACTTTATCCAAACACCTGAGGAGACATAAAGGTGAAAGATCAAATAAAACAGAAATCAACATTTTAGAGTGAATTCTTGTGCAGCAACAATCAGCAAAACTGTTAGTTTATAGATTAAATACATTTTTAAAAAATAGCAACATCGTAGGTATTAACATATAGCAAAAAAACACATTATTTACTTTCAACCATGTCATGTATGATTTCACAATCTTTATAAGGTTAATGTTGGTGTAAAAGTTTCAATAAAATAATTAAACTCTGTTATAACTTCACAGAAGTGAAACAGTGAATAATCATCATCTTTTCTAGCCTCTGTCTGCTTTGTTTAAACCATGAATGAACTCACCGTGATCACAGCTGGTTGTTTTTCAGGCCTTTGGGATCATTTGCTCCTGAACCTCAGCATTTTCTACAGCTGGAAGGTCAGAACAGAGTTATATAAATCCTGAATCTTTAACAAAAAACTCACAGAAACAGTCCTGAAAAGGCTGCTCAGTAGAAAATATGAAATATATATTATCTTTTCAGAGGACGGATGAAATAAATGCTTTACTTACGAGATGGAGGGCGCTTGGCTGAAATAAAAAGAAGAAACTGTTTAATACTGTCCAGACATTTTCATAAAGATCATGTTTTACATCATATAATTGGAACTCAGTTATTTAATTTCAACTCAAACTCAAGTCTAAACACTGAAAAAGGACAGAAAAATGTCTTTGTCTCTCACCGCCCTTCTTTCTGTAAAGAATGAATCCGATCACAGCGATGACGAGGAGAACAGCGGCGGCGATGATGCCGATCACCATGGCAACGTTACTGCCTGCATCAAACAACCAAAGATGAGATAAAAACTATTAACACTGAAGGCTGTTTTGTCTTGACTGTGTTATTGACATTAATCTGTCTTTTAATGTTTTATCTGAACATAATTAAAGAAATTGAGAGCTTCTTTTGTCTGAATATCAGAAAGAGGAGCTTCTAATCATTACTTTAATTATACTAAATTATTATTAATAACAATTTATTTAGGATTATGCCAGGATGCTTTAAAATGGAGCAAAGCTTTGCTTTAAATTCAAATATATTTAGGTGGAAATAGTTATAAATTCTAATGTGATGCTGAACTCACACTTTAAGCTGTGAGCAAAATATTGGAAGAAATAATAAATGACTGTATAAAATTTTAGATCCTGCATTAAAAATACTTAGTGGAATAACTATTTCACAAAATAAATTATTTTCTCTTCAGTTTGACTTCATTCTTACCTGCATTGGTCTTAATGATTCCTTTCTCCAGTC